CTGGATTCTAATTATTCACAATTCATGTGTTCATCATTTTAGTTGGTAAAGGCTGAACTTATTACATTTAGTAACTAAACCAAAAATAACTAAAAGGTATGAAATAGATTTATTGGAGTAAACAAAAGTACACTTTTCCCTATAAATTGTAATGAAATTAAAGTATAAAATGTAGCCCTCAAAGCTGTACTTAAACTTCAGCAAATGTACTTAAAGACATCCCCCCATATCCTGTAATACATTGTCTTTCAAAAGAAAGGCTCATAACCTCAGACACACACGTCTCAGTCAGCACGGCCACAGACCCACAGCCATTACTTCCTGTGCGGAAACTATTTCTGGTGTGTAGGAGGCCGGGCCAGGTTTAAACCTGACTTCACATGCACGACAGCTACACCGTCGTACAGACACATTTGAGTTCCTTTTATTTTCATATGAATATAGTTTACTATTTGTTGCCTTCAGATGTAGATACTCACTGCAGGTAAGTCAGTAGTTACTTTACAGGACGTTTGATTCTTACCAGCAGTCTAATCTATTAGGAAAAAATGTAACCGCTGTATTATTTTGACACTGTAACACAAATTGGGTTATTATTTTTATTTTCTTTGCCTGTCTGTGATGTATTGATTTGAATTGTTACCTCTTTTGGCCAGAGCACTTAGGAAACGTTTTGTAATGTCAGCGAGGTATACTTTTCTACATACAGCAATAGGCAACATAGCATTGGTTATATTTCCACATTACATACACATTAACATGATGTTGACAGTGAAATTATCTTTGTTTTAAGGTGTGATGGAGGATTTTTCTAAATATTTGGGTATCAACTGGACCTTTTTTCTGACTTGTTGCATGTTCTGGATTTTCTCACCAGCAGGTAAAAATCACTTACAACACCCTCGCGCTGACTTTTTGAATAGTACAGGAGTAGTTTGAAATTGTTTAAAGTTTCTTTATCAGATCTATACTAATTCTATGTTTGTACATGTATCTCTTGGCAATAAAATGAATTAACATATGTACCAAAATATTGCTCACACGGTTCGAGTTAACATATAAACATTGGTCTACATTTGATGATGTTCACAGAAGGAAACAAGATCTCAAGGGAGGTGGGCAGCCCAGCGATCCTGCACTGTAACATCAGTTCAAACAGCACGCTCAATCAGCTGACATGGAAGATGAACAGAGTACCCCTTTTCAGTTTCTCGCCAAAGGAAAGTTTACACAAGAGTGAAGAAGCTAAACGACTGAACATTAATATGTCAGAGAGCCACCCGTACGCCCTGGTCATAGAAAGAGTCCAGAAATCTCACGAAGGGAACTATACCTGTGAGATCAGCACGGTGATGGGAGTTGAAGAATGTAAATGGGAACTGAAAATCACTGGTGAGCTAATAACTCTTAAATTATAAGGACATACTGTATAAGTAACCCTTAAGGAAAGAGCAAAGGAAATAGGATGTAAACAGGAACAGGGGGAATGTTGGACTTTAAACAGAGACAACCATTGTATGCTACTGCTACTAGATAGAGTTGCTTTTACACATTTTCTGAGATTTTGATTGTCGATTTTGAAGTATAACTCTGTCAATGCACACAATATTAGTAATGTAATGCCATGAGTCGCAACCACAGCCTCAACTTCCTTTATGAAACAATGATGTCACACTCACAGAATCACCCTGTCTTTCCATTGAGCTAAATGTAACTGCATATTAGACTCATAATAACTTTAAAACTGTTTTTATTCCCCCAGAGGAAGCGGTACCTGGAAATCCAAACAAGCTGATGATTGTTGCGGCAGTTGTTGTCCCTTTGGTGTGTTGCTTGATTTTTATACTGGCTTTAATCATTCTGTATAGATGTCATAAACAACGTGCAGAGTAAGTTGCATCCAGTACTTATTTATTTAACATCTTAAAACGTACCCAAAAATATTTGGGGTTAATGGCATTATACTCTAACACATAAACAAAATGTCTTTCTCTTTCAGGAACTGTTCTCGCACCTCAGAAATGGTAAATTATTTGTCATTAGGATTATTCACTGTTATGCAATACGTTTTGAAGAGATACTGACATTAAAATGAGCTGCAATGTCCTTTTTTTCTTTAACAGCAGCCAGAAGAAGTTATTTATGAAAACTGTCTGGAAAATGATGTCATACAACAACAATATGGCAATATTCAGCCTCTCCCTTTCAAGACTAGGTCTAGACAAGGAGGGGTTCAGTACTGAGCAGGTAGAGGACCGTCTATTTTTAGAGTCTTTTTGTTGAAAACATGTGCTGTTTCTCTAAATGAAAGCAGAAGATGAAAACAATGTGCCAGAAGACGCTACAGCACTGTGGATCCGAGGGAAACAACACCTTCTACCCTTCCTTTTTTTGTTTTTTTACCTTTATTTAACCAGGATTGGTCTCATTGAGATTAAAAATCTATTTTTCAAGAGTGTCCTGGCCCAAGAATGGTTACAGCACAGTTACAGACCATTTTAAAACACACAATCACAACACAGTCATACACCAAGTTTATCCAAAGCATTTACAGACGCAGTGGCCTGCTTCAAGGTCAGTTAGTAGCTTTTAGTCTGTTTAAAGAAACCAGCTCTCTGAGTTTCAGCCCAGTTTGAAGCTGGTTCCATGCTTCAGGAGTAGCGTAACTGAACGCCCTCTTCCCCAGTTCACAATCAGATTTAGGGGGACCAAATGATGGAATGCCTGTCAGAATAGAGTACCTGTATTAAGTGTTACAAAAACCACAGAAAAAAACTATTTATCTACTTTTTGTAACAGTTGTTCACTTTGTATAACCATAATATATACACATACATGTCTTTATTTTTATGCATTTGTGTTATATGTTAATATAGTATGCTGTTGTTATGGTTTGCCATCAGTATTGAATTCCTAATATTTCTTGTATATTAATCTTGTGCTGTCTATAAAATTGTGAATTCTAACATTATTTGGGGCGAGGCTTAAAAAAAAAGAAGCCCAGTAGGTTTTCTGCCTTTTCCTGTACTGTATATTATTTAACTGTTATGTTTTTACATTATGTTGAACATTTTGAATGTAGTTCATTAAAGGTACATTGCTACCAAAAAGACTATCAGGAGTTCAGCAGATAGATGTGAATACAAAGAAAACTGTTGAAAAAATGATTGATGAGGATACCAAAGGGAGTCCTGAAGAGCAGCTAAGCTTCAACAGCTCACACACATATCCCATGAAGCTTAGATTCTCTGTACGCTTCTGTAGATAATGGTAGTAAAGCTTAAGGGAGTTTACCGGTCATGTGATACTGCGACCACAAGATCACCATGCGTGACTCAATGGCGTCTGTTATTACCACGTCTGGCTCTTTAATAACCATTTATATGAAACGCCCAAATTCCAGGCTTTTAAGTCGCCTCTGAGTTTTTTTCTTGTACTGGGTCCCAGTTTGGTTTCTACTGCACAGCACCACAACAACACAAAGTACCACCTGGAATTTTGCACATTTACATCCTGCCACTGGTTTCCTTTGTTCTGTCGTTGACAGCTGGAGGCGGTAATGTGTCGAATAAACAACTGAAGTGGAAGACTGTTAGCAAGTCAGCATGGAGGCGATGGAAGATTAAAATTAAGTAAAACATGAGCTTTGAAAATTACTATTGAAATATGTGAGTGACACGATCAATGTTCATGCAGTTATTGTAATAACATTACACAAATATGAATCTCTGCTTTAAGAGTTTTAATTTATTTTCGCACCACAGTGTCACACTTATTGAAATGGAAGGGGACCTATTGTGCAAAATCCAGTTGTTCATGTCTTTTATACATAAACATGTGTCCCCTCTGTGTAAAGAGATTCTGAAAGTTTCAGGAAAAAGATTCTCTCTCTTTTTGTCCCGATCCATTTATATAAAAACCTGTCTGAAAATGAGCTGATCAGATTTTGGCCACTTTATGTCATAACGATGTTTTGGCTTGTGTAACCATTAGCCAATAACCAGCCAAGGTAACACCCGCCCACCTTATCACCTGAATCTCCTCCTAGAGCACTATTGTGTTATTTTCAACCAAATATCTCTCAGAGGGGCGTGGGGAGTGGCTCCTTATTTTCATCTAAAGTAACAGATAGAGAGTCAGCACTTTTGAAACAGGGCTGAAACAGAGCGGTTTATGGGATGCTGCAATCAGGGTAGGAATTTCACGGCGGCTATTTGAAAATGGGGGTTAACTATCACCGGACGCGCGCGATCCTTCCACCATGACTAGGACTCCCTCTTTTGTTCATGGTTAAAGCTAACCGACCCGCATTAACGTTTGGTTGCGGGCATTTGAGACTTTTCAAAACACTTTCTGGCGGTAACTAAGTAAACACCGTAAATCGTAATTTTTGAAGTCGTAATCGGGGCGTCGTGTGCCTCTCTCTTATGGACCGTTGTGTGTTTTTTGTTAGTACCGTCGCCACCTCACACTCCTCCACATTTTCGCAAGACCGTTTAATGAGCCTTCAAGTCATCTTCTGACGACCCTCGGGGTCGTCGGAAGAAGACTTCGGTCAGGGGATTGAGGCCCCTGAAGCCCACCAGTCATATGCGGCACTTCACCCTTTAAGTGATCATCAGTGAATTTCAGGGGGTTGAAACATTCGAAAAACTACTTGATCCGGGAGACTGGGCAAGATCCACTGTGATTTTCAGAATGTTCATTGTACAGTCTCGAAAAAATCAGCTTGATCAATGAACATCTGAAAATCACAGTGATCTTGCCAGTCTCCCGGTGATCAAGTAGTTTTCGAATGTTCAAAACCCTGAAACCACGATGATCATAAAGGGGAAGTGCCGCATATGACGGTGGGCTTCAGGGGCCTCAATCCCTGACCGAAGTCTTCTTCGACGACCCCGGGGTCGTCGAAGATGACTTCGGAAGACCTCATTAAACCGGTCTTGCGAATGTTGAGGAGTAGTGAGGTGGCGACGGTACCAAAAAAAACACAACGGTATTTAATAAGAGAGAGGCAACACGCGCCCCGAATTACGATTTATTACGATTACGGTCGTTTATGTTACCGCCAAAGTGTTTGAAAAGTCTCAAAATCCCCGCACCAAACGTTAAGGCGGGTCGGTTAGCTTTACCATGAAAAAAGGGGGTCCTATCATGGTGGAAGAGAGTCGTCCGTGATAGTATACCCGATTTTCAAGAGCCTGATTCATGAGAAAAACCACCACTTCGGTCTTAAGGTCCGTGGGTAGCCTTGATTTGCCCTTTTCATGCCCCTATTAAGAAGGCCACACTTGCGCGGATGTACTGTCCTCATTTTGTGTCGAATGTCGACGCAACTCTGATCTCGGCTAATCTCGCAGAGGCCACACTTGCGTCGTATTACGTCAAGTCTCTGGTCGTGGTGACGAAACTGCCGAAAATTTCTTTGAAGCTAATAAATTGTCCAACACCTCCCGCGTGTTTCCGGTGACACCGGCATCCTGCCATGTTAATAAACAGCCCCGAATGCGGTCTGGCCTGACCGTGCTGCCCGG